TTGTTATTTATTTTAATTTTAGTTAAATTATGTCTGAATTTATTATGTCTGTATAGGTCTTTTATTAAGTTTTTAATTTTATTTAATTTATTTATTTTACACACGAAGAACCAGTTATTTTAATACTTCAACAAGCTAAATGGAAATGAAATAATATATATGTTGAATTTATAAATGTGTATGTATATATATATATGTATGTGTGTATGGTATTATTGAAAATAAACCAAATAAACTGCACACATAGAATGTAAAGTGCAATGATATGTTCCTGCAAGTCAAAACTCGGTCTGAAGCACTTAGTTTTATTTTAAAACGAGCCCAGACAGCAAGTTATCGATCTGCATAACGTTCGTTCAGCTGCTAACAAGATGTGCATCAAAATACACGGTTAGACTGTGGTATTTAATACAATAAAATGTACAGAAGTGGATTATGTGTTGTAGACGTGTCAATTTCGTTCATTATTGTTCACTTTGATTTTGTCTAACTTAAGTAGTATTCTCGTTAAAGTAGCGAGTTTAATCGTAACGTTAATCTATTTTTGATTTTGGCTTCAAACGAATATGAAAAACGGGAAGATTTTATTATAAGTCACGTTGGTCCGACCACAGCACAGTCCAATTGATAAGAGTTGTCATTTCTGTCGGCTATAAGAAATATCAAAGGGCGAATAAAATGAAAACGGAACCAATTCACGCTGCTCGTTTGCGCTGTACCGGACCGTTTAAGGTTAGATAGCGCCGCGCGAGCGTTGAGAGATCCGGTGAAGAGGGAATACACGGCAGAGTTATCAACATCGCTGCGAGATCTAAGTTAGTAAGCATCATTCAGATTCGGTACAGAATTCTGTTATTAATCAATAGATGTCAGATAACAGAGTGCTGACGTGAAAACCAGGATGGATATTGTGATATAAAGTTATAAGAACGCCTTTAGTCCACATATCATTCACCACGTATTTGTAGTAGCCATTGCATTAAAATTTTAAAAAAATCTGCGTCTCAACTGAATCAGTATTTTTCAGATCTTTTGAGACTATATATATATATATGTATGTGTGTATATATATGTGTGTGTATGTGTGTGTAATGTGTGTTTTATGATGTTTTAAACATTTAATGTGCAATGTTGCATTTCTTTTAAATTAATATCTTTTTTCCCTTTTTCGTAGGTTTGGAATACAGTGTAAACTTTGCAAATTTGCTCACGGTAGCAGAGAGGTCCTCCTGAAACACTACAGGTTTCACCACTATCAAGGGCGATCCTGGCAGCAGCCTTGCCTGTATACTGACTGCATCTGCACTTCCAAAACTATAGGTGCGTTAAAATCCCATTTGACAAGAGCACACAAACAGACTGGTACAGTGATAGAGCACTTTAATTTTACATGCCAGTTATGTGATTTTAAAGATGTTTGTCAGCCATCTCAGTTTTTAAACCATATCGGAAACCATTTAAAGAGACACGATGCAGTCAAATGTCCTTTTAAGGATTGTGAGTTGACTACCAATGTTCTTTCAACTTTTAGTAGTTACGTGTCTCGTAAGCATAAGTCTCAAGGTTTCAAAGATTTTAGCTCTTCTGTTACATTTCAAATTGACGATTTGGAAAGCAATGAAGAATCATGGTCGGAAGAGACTGGAGATCCTATGCCAAATCCACAGTCAAGTGTTACAGCTAGCACTGTTCCTGTAACTCCTGGACCTGAAACAAACTCATATTCAGAGCCTGTAGACTATATAGGGCTAGAGTGCAAACTTGCATCATTGATCCTTTATATGCAGACAATGTTTCAAAAAGTGCAACTCGGGAGATATTAAACTGGATGAGCGATATTGTTTCATTCTTCCCTTTAAAAGGAAAGGGATGCATTACAGGAGGAATTGAAGAAGAAACATCTCAACATGGCATTTGTTGACTCGAAAATGGAATTGACATTCTCATTGAGAAGGAAGGAGATAGTTGAAGAAGAACCTCTTGTAGCTGATGTACTAAGACAATGGCCAGCATTGTTTTTGGAACATCAGGTAAGTTTTAAAGAGTAACTTGTGATTTTTTTTTCCCTGTAAGATGAATAGACTTACTGTACACTTGCTGTATTCTTATTGTTAATTCTGATTTTTTTATTTTTTTTAGATATGTACTGAGTTTTACAGAATCACAGAAACAAACCTGAAGAGTACATTTTTCTCTTCTCTGGATGAATATACACCACGGATGATCAAGTTGTATAGGGTACGCGGCGGAGCATATGGAGATAATATGAAGACCCTCCTAGACCAACTTGATAATCAGGTAATTATTTAGATTGTGTTCCTATATCTCTCGTTAAGGGGAACCTATTATGATTTGTTGGGTTGACTTTCTTTTAGTGTGTAACGTAGGTAATTTAGGAATTTGGATCAATCTAAACACGTGATGCATAGGGCTGGACAATAATTCAATATCAATATGTATCGCGATATAATTTTTTTCAATAACGGTTGTGGCTACTTGTTTTTTAAAGTTCGCTCAACTCCCTTATCCACCTTCACTGAACTTTCAAAAATGATTTGGCACAACTTCAACCACCGAAGTTGAGTAAACTCAAAAATGCTTTGCAGCTGGTTGCTTTATTTTTTTAAGTTAACTCAACTTTTTATTTTTTACAGTGTAGTGTGAATGCGTCTTTACTGTATAATATACTTTTTCCCTCCCAGAGGTAAAGAAACTGAACTTCCAGCTATCTGTACTCTTACATGAGCTCAATTATGCTGTCTTGTATGTTGGATTGCCAACCATAATTATGTATCTCATATAGTGGTTCAAAGGGAAATCTTCTTTCACCTGACACTTAGTATCTGGAGCCAGACCACTTTACTGTAATGAAGCCTGGCTTGGAACGACAAAAAAGTAAAGTTCATACCGTTTCTGTCACAGAAACATTAAACAGTCATGTTAACAGAAAGTTTGCTATATTACATGAAATGATTTCCACACACTGGTTCTTCGTGTGTTCACAGGGAGGAGCATTGTTCTGTTCACCATCTGCAGTACTAAAGACTATAAGATTTCATTTTGATCAGATTTCAGTTCAATTTTGAAACCGCATTACTACTGTAAAGTGATACAAGAAGCTCAGTTGAAACAAATGAAAGTCTTGAGAACATTAATGCTCCACAGACGATTAGCTAAAATGTTACTCTTTCTTTTGCTTGTAACTTTTAAAACCCAAACAATCGTTTTTCACTGATTTCTCACTCCATGAGTTCAGAAGTTGTTGTTTCAAATCTTTGCCTATTGGCTGCCAACACCTAATGGTAGGAAAATCATAAAGAAATATAACTGAAAGCATGATTCTGGTCTCTTTAGATTCCTTGACATTTTTTTTTTTGTCTATTATTTTAAATTTTGTTTAAAAACAAATCAGAATTTTCCACTGGAGTTCCCCCAAATGCCTAATGATGTTCAGTAAGGCTTTGAGAAAGCATGTGTAGGAGGAGTACACTGAATCACACAGACAGTGTATGGGGAGGATGTCATGAGAGTCACACCCTAGAACAGTATGAAGATGTTATAGCAGCATCAAAGGAAAACAATGACTATGATAACACATACAGAAGCCCATGCATTATTATTTTTCTCTCTTGTTTTCACTTATTTTGCTTTAAGCTCCCAACAAAAGTTATCTTGAGAAAATGAATTGTTCTGTATTATATATGTTTTTGATGCTGCATGAGTCTGGTACAAGGGGTATTGTGAAGAAAAATTAGAGGGAACATTGCTTGAAAGAAACAAGAGTTTGACTTTGTCAAAACTGATGTTGTCATTCTTGTGATAAAAAACATCTCACAATATGACATCACATTTTCCTAACTAAACATATACCCTTATTCGGTACACTTTTCTATGTTTTAATGTTCCGATTTTTATGTTGAGCCCTCACTGTGCACTTTTTTTGTACTTAAAGGGGTCATATGATGCTTTTTTTAAAGATCATTATTTTGTGTATTACTCTGAGCCGGAACTACTGCTAGCATGTGATACAGTTTTATCTTTAAATGTTTGAGGTTGAGTGACAGGACTTAAAAAGAGGCCCAGGTGAGTACAACCGCTGTCAGTATGATGCTCTTATGGGATTTATTTTTATAGAACAGCGGCATGACGAGAATGTATCCTTTAGCTACAATGCATAATTCAGCGCCACACATCTGCTGTTGGGAAAATGCAGACACTTTTATTAGGGAGTGGAATACAAAATAGGCAGGAGAAGAGAGGGATGAGAAAAAGAATAGTCTGCAGTCTTTTATAGGACACCTGGACTCAGATGCTGTGCTGTCAGTAAGGTGCTTATACAGTGTTTCATAAACATTACAACAGTCAAATCAATTGTAGTTTAATCAAACTCTTGTTATTCTGTCCCGGTAGACACATCTGTTAAAGAGCCCTTGAATAAGCCTGACATTAAAAACAGAAGATAAATTCATACAATTAACTTCATATGTCTTGAATAGCTAAACATATAAGGGACACCGGGGCTAGTCGTCACATGGGGAGGCTGTCACAAAGGCTATATGTCTACTGTAAGGTTTTGAGTCAAAAGTTCAGTTGCATAAATACGTGTTTTCTCTTTTGTATGTTTGTTTCAAATAACAAGTAGTCACATGTATTTTTATTCTGTTTTTAATTATACAATGTATTATTTAGAATGTTTGTTTAGAGCAAAAGTTTAGAGTTTTAACAAAGGTATTTGTATAATTACCTGTAATCAAGTAGGGGTGGGTGACCAAAATCTTATATCGTGATATGAGTCATTTTATTTCACTGTAATGATATATATCAAGTAATAGTTATTTTTGCTTTAAATAAGGTCTTCATGATATAACTTTTTTTTTTGATATAATAGAAATTTCATCATTCTTGTCACCAGTTTCAATATCACAAAAAATTAATACTAGCCTAAATTAAAAAAAAAAAAAAAAACTCACAGAAGACAAGTAAACTTATTTTAAATAAGAATAAGAAACTAATTACAAGAAATAGGACAAAAAACTACAGTAGACCAAATAAATAAGAAATGCTACATACATTGTGTTAAGTAATTAAATGTATAAAAACACTGCATATTATTCACTGTATGTATATATATATATATATATATATATCTTATTATTAAAGTAACAAAAGTGATTTAGTCAAGAGCAGTGAGAGATTTTCTCTCTTTTGTTGTTTGCATGAGTTGGATTCCCATGCGAAACATGGCCAGAGTTTCAAAAAACGAGTTGGACGTATGATGGAGTATTTCTGTGCCAAATACACTCCTTCAGAGTTCGTATAAGTTTCGGAAAGTTTTTTTTTTTTGAGTATGCCCCTGTATGACATCATAAAGGGCAGCACAAACTTATGTGTGCGTGTGCACACATCAACCAGGGGTGCATTTCCCAAAAGCAACTATGGTCACAAGTTCCATCATTACTAATAGAGTTCAATGGAATTTACCACCATAGTTAGCTAATGATGCTTTTGGGAAACGCACCTCAGAGCGAGAGCAAGAGCACACCCATCAACATGCTTCATTCGGGTTACGGAAGTCGTTGGCAACGCTACACAGGACTTGCTCAATAAGGATTTGTCATTTTGTTTTTAGACCACGAAATCAACAATGTCACCAAAGATTAAGAAATGTGTTTTTGGTTGTGAGGGAGAGATAACCTTGTTCAGCTTCCCAAAGATCCCAGTGTTTAGGGAACAGTGGATGATTGTTTCTCCAGGGCAGCAAACGGGTTGTGCAAGTGTGTTTGTTTGTTCCCGGCATTTTGGTGACAAATGTTTTATAAACAGATTAAATTAAATTTAAGTCAATGAGGTTTTTGCTCCAGTTTTATTTATGTCGATGTCACAGCTTGCAGATGATCACTACACAAAAGCTTTATGTGCTTGTGACTCTTTACACTCTTAAAAATAAAGGTTCCATAAAGGTTTTCACAGCGATGCCACAGAAGAACCCGTTTTAGTTCCCCAAAGAACCTTTCAGTGAACAGTTCTTAAAAGAACCATTTTCTCGTAGTGTGAAGACCATTTTAATAATCTTAAGAACATTTTTCCACTGTAAAGAACCTTTTGTGGAATAAAAAGGTTCCATGGATGGTAACCCTTACGAAAAAGAAGTTTATTCAAGTGTGCTATTAGTATACTTCTTTTAAACTAAAAATAGGAAAGTATACTTTTAGTCTACTTTTTATGTACTTCTCAGAAATGGGCTTTCTGTACTTCTCAGAAATATACTTAAAATGACATTTAAGTATACTTGACTTATACTTAGAAAAAGTCTAAATATATTTGAGCTATACTTGTGTTCCTAGAATCCGTGTTTTCATTGTTATACTGTAGAGGGCGATAGTACACATCTTCTGTACAGAATTTCCAAAAAACACAAGTGAAGAAGAAACCGAAAACAACAGATGCTTCCACATGTATTCTAACATGATCATCAGACATAAAATAGTATCAAAACTGTAACATTATGGAATAAAAGGTCGACCAATGAAGAGGTAATACTGACTGTCAAGCTTTGGGGTGTTGATCGACTCATCTAAGTTTTGATTATCATTCTGAATCCAATTCATAGTCTTTTTTTCAGCTTTTTGTTCAAAATGTTATTTATTTATTTATTTTTTATTTATGAAACTTATCCACAAAAAGAATGCATGAAGCTAGAATAAAATGTTTTTGTTTACAAGCAGATACCCTGTTCTTTTGATGTTTTGTATGTTCAGATATTCATGTAACAAAATGATGCCAATAAAGAACCTTTATTTTTAAGAGTGTAGCTCCGCCCACGGCGTGCCTCCAGGAGCTCAACTGAGAGAAGTGTAAACCTGTATCTGTCTTTTATAAATCTGATAAAACTAAAGACTCTTAGGACATGTGAAGTATGCAGTACTACTCTATAGGTAGTCAAGATTAACATGAGAACTGTTTTACTGTTACACGTGTTTTGTTTCTCAGCTGTTTGCTTTCACTTAAGACCTAAATGACTGTGTTTACAAGGATACTTGCAAAGATGGGAATTTTGACACATACAAGTTTGTGTATTTAACTGTTCAAGGCCTATAAAGCTGCAAAAATGACCAGTACGGCCACACTTACACTCTATGAACACCGTCTTCATGTGCGCGTCTCTCTCAGCGCGTGCGTATAACAAAATCAGTTCTCTTTCACTGCTGATTGCATTTCAGTAGCTTAAAATCACTTGTTTTTAAACCGCAATGCTTAAAAACCCGTGCAAACGATACATTTTCGTGACCACATAGCACAGCAACTTCCGTAACAACCACGATAGAGACCTCC